ATCTCTCTGATCTGTTCCACCCAACACAACCTCACACCCAGTCGTGATATTTTCTTAAGCTCTTCTGCCGGTGGAAGTTGCTTAGTTTTTTGTTATTTTTGATGATGAACAGGTTTGAAGAGTTTCATGGGATGTTACACAACTGTGATCTGCCTAGTGTTTCCGCCATGTATTAGCATGGGCATAGGGGCAGATCATGGAGGTACAGGGACATCTATCTCTGTCTAACCATATCAGAAGCACATACTGTCAGTACCACTGTGGGTGTTGGTCGGCACCTTGCTTCTTAGTGAACTTCCATCACTAGAAGTTGTTAGGATCTTCCCACCTCTTGGCACTTCCAGCTTATTCTGTACGCTCCCGGTTTCGGAACCATCCATTTCTGCTAGACGCTCCCAGTCCTTTTATTGAGGAATGACATTAGAAACCAATATATGAGCATTTCACTTTATTTTGTCCATATAAATAACCAAATAAAATCATTTTTTTTTCCAAAAATTGAAAGCAAGGCAGGTGTTGGTAATGCACACCTTTAATCCCAGCACTCAGGAGGCAGAGGCAGAGGCAGAGGCAGAGGCAGAGGCAGAGGCAGAGGCAGAGGCAGAGGCAGAGGCAGAGGCAGAGGCAGAGGCAGAGGCAGAGGCAGAGGCAGAGGCAGAGGCAGAGGCAGAGGCAGAGGCAGAGGCAGAGGCAGAGGGATCTCTGTGAGTTCCAGGCCAGCCCAGTCTACAGAGCAAGTTCCAGGACAGGCTCCAAAGCAATACAGAGGAAACCTTGGTTCCAAAAAAAAAAAAAAAAAAAAAAACAAAAAAAAAAAACAAAAAACAAAAAACAAACTAAAAATGAAAGCAAGAACAGCAAAGACAAATGCCCCCCCCCCCCACCGTGCGGAGAACAGCTTGTATTGGTTGAGGAAGCAGAGGCCACATCACAGATGATGTGCTGCATATCTGTGTCCCTCTAGTTCTAGACTTTTCTAAAATCATAGTAACTCCCTCCTAGGTGCCAGGTGTGTGTGCATTCTAGCTGTTAAACTCAGGTCCTCGTTCTTACAAAGCAAGCGCTTTACTGACCGGGTTCTCTCTAGTAGGCTATTTTTAGTTCTTTATATTAGGCAGTGAAACTAAAACTCCTGAGCACTAAGTAAATTGTGATTGTATTTCATTTTCCCACAAAAATCTTATTTTAAAAAAGCCAGAGACTCCCTATTCCTGTCTAGTTTTGATTGCTCTAATGATAGAGTGGTGGCTGCATAATTCATAAGGGAAGGAGATTTTGGTCTGGGGATGTAGCCAGTTGCAGACACACACACACACACACAGAGAGAGAGAGAGAGAGAGAGAGAGAGAGAGAGAGAGAACTAGTTCACAGTCCTGGAGGCACAAAAGCTTGGTGAGGCCTCCTGGTACAAGATATTATAGTAGTGCAAGCAGATGAGTCACCTGCTGATGGCATGGGGCGGGGCAGCCACGCTTTCTTTGTTTCCATTTATTGCTGCTGTTGCTTTGAAACAGGGTCTCTCTATGCGGCCCTGGCTGGCGCTGATTAAAAGCACGTGCCACCATGCCTAGCCACTCTTCTCCACTTCTAAAACAGCCTGCTCTCATAGAGACTAATTTACTTCATGAACCAAAATCAATTCTTTCCCAAGGTGATGCCCCCAGTGGCCTAGCCATGGAAGGCTCTTGCATCTCTTAATGCATTGAGGACCAGCCTCCCAGCACACAAGCCCCTGGGGACTTACCCACACCACAGTGCTGCCCACAGTCTGCAGAAGATTCCTCTTTGCTTAATAAACAAAGTCCCAGCAGCCGTAGAGGTTGGTGTCCCAGTCACTCTCCTATTGCCGTGAAGAGACACTGTGTCCACAGCACCTCTTATAAAGGAAAGCGTTTAATTGAGGCCGGCTTACAGTTTCAGAGGCTTAGGCCACTATCACCATGGCAGGGAGCATGGTTCTGAAGAAGTAGCTGAGAGTTCTATATTTGGACCCACGGGCGGCATGAAGAAAGAGACTGGGCCTGGAGTGGGCCTTTTAAAACCTCAAGCCCACCCTCAGTGACAAACTTCTAGAAGACCACACCTCCTAATCCTTTCAAGTAGTGCAGCTCCCTAGTAACCAAACATTAAAATCTCTGAGCCTATGGGAGCCATTCTCATTCAAACAAACCACCACCACACAAGGTAAATAAGACAGAGTTTCTCTGCATGGTCCTGGCTGTCCTGAAACTCACTCTGTAGTCCAGGCTGGCCTCGAACCCAGAGATTCACCTCTCCAGTGTTGGGATTAATGTCATGTACCACCAGTCAGTGCCTGGCATAAGAAGCTTTTCTTTTCTTGCAACCAACTGACTCATTGGTTCATTTAGGCAGAAATGATGGGTGGAAATGACAATTGTAATACTATGACTTTTTGTGAAATGGGTTCAGTAGACAAATCCAATATTAATAAATATGACAGAGAACAAGCATGAGATGTTAGGGTTGTTATGTGGTTCATGAGTCTGAGATTTCAGTAATCATCACCATCATCATCCTCATCACCATCCTCACCACCTTCACCATCATTAACACCATCTCACCAATATCACATTCCATCATCACCATCACCATTATCATCACTATTACCATCATCACCACCATCACCATCCTCATCACCATCATCACCACCATCACCATCATCACCATCATTAACACCATCACCATCATCACCATTACCATCATCACCATCATCACCATCATCACCATCATTAACACCATCACCATCATCATCATTACCATCATCACCATCATCACAACCATCACCATTATCATCACCATTATCACCATCACCATCATCATAGCCATCAGTCATTCTAGGGAAGGAACACAAAGATCTTCATGTTGATTTACTGCATGTTGAAGACCTCAGGCAAATAAACCACCGTTTGCCAATTTTGTTCTCCTGGTGTTAGTGAACTGAGAATTGGGGAAGGAGAATTTGTAGATGAAAGTCTGTTCTGCCTGGTCCCTTAGCTGTTTAGTTCCAAATAAACACAAAGAGGCGAATAATAATTATAAACTGTTTGGCCAATGGCTCAGGCTTCTTACTGGGTAGCTCTCTCCTAATTATTTACCTATTTCTATTAATCTGTGTATCTCCTCATTGTCTTGACTTACTGGTGATGCACAGGCCTCTTGCTTCCTTGGCAGCTACATGACTCACTCTTTGCATCCCCCTTCCCAGCATTCTCCTGGTCTGCCAGCCTTGCCTATACTTTCCGCCTGGCTGCATCCCGCTGTCCATTGGCTGAAACAGCTTTATTCACCAATCGATAAAAACAACATATATTCGTAGCAAACAGAAGGACGCCTCCCATCAAGAATTGACTGGGATTTTCCCAGAGCTTACTGCTTGAAGCCTTTGAGCTCCCCTCCATCTGCCTCCCCATCACACTCCTTGCAGAGTAAGATAGCATTCATAGCAAGGTAACTGGGGACTCATTGGATAGTCACAGCTGCTGCCTTGCGGAAGCAGACGGTTGAGGAAGCCAACACAGAGATGGGGAGTGACGGTAGGTTTCAGAGTTCTCATCCCCACCACTGAGGCATTTTTAAGATTACTTTTCTATTGTTCAATAGTGTATTGCTAGCTTTTGGGTCCTATGATTGTTTTCAGACACTACACTTGAAGAGAAATGCAATCCCTCCTGCCAATTAAAGCTTTGTGTTTATGCAGGGTAAGAGGCCCCAGCGCGGCACCCACACAGCACCACTGTGCAGCCACCATGCTTGCTGTTGGCTGTTCTCCTTTCAAAGTTGTTTCCACACCTTCCTCTGTCTCCTTAGTGTCACTCACGGGTCACTCACTGCCTGTCATCCCACTCTGCTTCACTAACATGACAGCCTCTCCATCCTCTGACACCATGTTTGTCCTAATGGAGAAGGATTGGACCATCTAGTAAACTGCGTCTGCAAGCTTCAACTACTACCATCCACTCAGCTCCTACACAGCTTCAATCCTGCCTCCCTTCCTGTGGCAGTCCATGGCAGGCCCTGACCCTTCCCACACCTGCTGAAAGCCCAGCTCTTGCTTCTCCTCCCCTGGATCATCAACATTTAAACTTATTTCTCACCAGGAGCTGGTGGAGCACGCCTTTAATCCCAGCACTCAGGAGGCAGAGGCAGGCGGATCTCTGAGTTTGAGGCCAGCCTGGTCTACAGAATGAGTTCCAGGACAGCCAGGGCAACACACAGAGAAACCTTGTCTCGAAAAACCAAACAAACAAATCGAAACACAAAAACTTCCGATTTCTGTAGTGGCCACACCCAGTTCCCCCACAGCCTGGCCAATGTCCCTATTTTGTCTTTTCCCTTTTGACACTGCGAGGTGGCACCTGCTGCAAGGTAAATCTCCCCACTCCCCTCCCCATTGCCGTGGTCCCTTCTCCGTTCCCTTCCGTGACAAAACTCCTGTAAGTGGTTGGCTTTATTTCCTGCTCCCAGTATCTTTCCACCCATGACTTCCTAAGTTTACTCCAATAGGAACCGCCCCATTTAAATTCTTCCTGGCATCCGGTTATGGTGGTGCACATCTGTCACTCCATCCTTACACACCTGAAGCCTTACACACATCCTTACACAAGCCTCAGTGTCAGTTGTACCTTTCTTACCCTGACACATTCCACCTTCCAATGTACCCAGCAGCTCCTTTCCCAAAGCTGAACAGTAGAAAGGCGTAGAAGCAAGAAAGAGCTGGGCGGTGGTGGCACACACCTTTAACGCCAGCCCTCGGGAGGCCGGGACAGGCGGATCTCAATGAATTCAAGGCCAGCCTGGTCTACAGAGCGAGTTCCAGGACAGGCTCCAAAGCTACACAGAGAAGCCCTGTCTCGAAAAACAAAAACAACAACAAAAGGGAGTTGAGACAGAGTACTTTGGGTTAGCAGACATCCAGAAAAGATGGAGGGCGGCATGGAGGACATTGCCAGATGTTCACTGATGGGTAGACTTTCTTGCAGATCAAATCTCCAGTGCTCATGACTCCCTTGGCCCTGTCACCTCCACGGAGTACCCCAGAACCTGACCTCAGCTCCATCCCTCAGGATGCAGCCACTGTCCCCAGCTTGGTGGTCCCACAGGCTCTCACAGGTAGGTCAATACAATGGACTCCAAGGTGGCAATGGTTTTCTAGTAACAGGGTGTCCTTTCATCTAACAGTCAATTTGTGAGATATTTCTCTGAGATATTTCCCAGGGTGTGGCAGCACAGGTTTTTAATCCCAGCACCCAACACCATGGGAGACAGAGGCAGGCTGATCTCTGAGATTGAGGCCAGCCTGGTCAACACAGAGAATTCTAGGACAGCCGGAGCTGCACAGAGAAACCCAGTTTCTAAAAAAGAAAAGAAAAGAAATGCTTCCCTTAGATATCCCAAAGAAAGATCTGGCATGGTGGCTGGGCTCTGAAAGCACATTTGGCTATTAAAAACTGTTTTCTGTGAATGTTGGGTTCAGCTGGCTGCTTTGGAGCGGACAAGTAAGAACAATGTCCAGACCTGAGTGTGCTCACTTGAGTGTGTCCAGACCTGAATGTGCTCACTTGAGTGTGTCCGTTTTGCATTTGTATTTCCAGCTGCTTCCACTTCCCTTAATCCAGTGTAGCACACATTCCAACCTCTCTCTTCTTGATGATGGTAATGATGATGATATCAGCCAACCAACAGCTTCATCTTAATCATAACAGTAGTTAGATGGCTACAAAGGCACACACACGTGCGCACACACACACACACACAGAGCCCTTCATCACAACTTCACTCCCTGCTCCCATCCTGTTTAAGTCCCTTTAGTCCCTTTAGTCCCCCTCATTGTAGTATAAAGACTAAACCTGTGAACATGGCTGAGAAAACCCTACAGATTGATTCCACTCACCAGGTGCTGTCAATAGGGTCTTAGCATATGCTCTTCCTCTTCAGAGCCTGGGGTCTTACCTCAGCACCTGAGAACTGAATAGGTAGGGCCCACATCACTTGCCTGCTGGTACACAGGCCAGCTGTTCACTACTTTCCAGATCAGAACTCTTGGGTTCCCAGGGAATTGACTCCAAGCTCCATGTTCCAGCCCTGACTGCAAATCTGAGCTGCCCCCATGAGCACTTCAGCCTCTGTTTCCTCAAGAGCAAAGAAAGCCATAATATAACACCCAACTCAGGCTTACTCAAAAACGTGGGAGATGCCTGTCGTTACTATTCAACATCCGCAAAGTCCTGCTAGTTGTCTCTTAATGTCCTTCTCAACACTCTGGGCAGTGATGGTGTTTGGCACTCGCCTTTAATCCCAGGACTTGGGAGGCAGAGACAGGCTGATGTCTGTGTACTTGAGACTAGCCTAGACTACAGTGTTAGCTCCAGGACTGCCAGTAACACACAGAAACCCTGTCTCAAAAAACCAAACCAAACCAAACAAACAAACAAAACCCCCTAAAACAAACGAACAAACAACACTCCCCTTAAACAGTGATCTCTGAGGTAAGAGGCTTACACATGTCATGGGAAGACAGACACTTAAGACAGTGTTAATGTCTTAAGTTAATGACCCTGTTGTTAACATCGGGTTTTACTTTATTCTTGTGTCTGCTTTACTTGTGGGGCAGAACCTCCTGCATTGACACAGAAAGGCGGGGGGGGGGGGTGTAGGGGTGGGTGGTGGGTGGGTGGGGGGATAGCATTTCTACTTTACCTGGGAGGTAGTTTTCTCTAGGAAGTTCTTTGTTAAGGAGCTGGCTTTGAGAACAGGGAAGAATCTTGGGGCTTTCCTGAGCAGGTCATGGTAACATTGTTGCTTTTAAATCTTAAAACAGTAGACCTGGCGGTGGAGGACAGCACACATTATATCAGAGCAGTCTGGAGTCAGGCTGACCTGTTGGGCAATTTTCGTTAAATTACAGGGGACATAGTTGTGGGCAGGCGTTTATGCCGTTTTAGGACAGAGTTAAGTTGAACTTGTATCTGCTGGTTCTCAGCCCCTCAGCCACTGACTATGGTGTTAATAAGGACTGCATAGGTGAATCTTCTCAGTGGGAACACTTTCCCTGAAAAAGGACTCATGATGGTCCCTGAGATGGACCAGTGGGCACAGGTACTTGCTGCCTAGTAGCTTGGTGACATAAATTCAATACCAGGGACCCACATGGTGGGACGAGGCAACAGACTTCCTCAAGTTGTCCTCTGATCTCTGCTCTGCATGGGTGCACCATGGCATGCCTGGCACACACACATACACACATGCACATGTGTGTGCACACATACATACATGCACATGCGTGTGTGCGTACACACACACACACAATGGAAAAAGGGAATTTGTGAGCTTTTCATTTTCTCCTTTAACTGTAAAATTCATAAAATTCCCCACCGTGGTCTGAAAATTTACTGAATGTGGAAAACCAGTTTTAGAGACATTCTGACACTTTTCTGTAGGTTTATGTTTCATAAATATGATACTTACCCACAAAATCTATTTATACTTGATACATTGACATAGTCAAAAATGTAAGTTAACACGATTTATGTCCAAAATGTTGTGATGAGCTATAACGTGTGGAAGATTTGGGACTGAAGGGGTGACTCAGTGGTTAAAAGCATTTGCTGCTCTTGCAGAGGAACTGGGTTCATTTCCCAGCACCCACATAGTAGCTCACAACTGTCTGTAACTCCTGGGATATGACACCAGACCCCAGGGTACATGATACAAAGATTATACACACACACACACACACACACACACACACACATCCATACACAGGACTTTTTTTTAAATTTGATTGATAGCTTTTGACCATTGCTTCCTGAAATTATAAATATCCCACTGGACCATCATCATACTGCCTCTGGGATGATTAGTGTTACACAATGTTTTTTATTGGTGAAAGTTCATAGAGAAAAATGGCAGAGGAAGATTTTGCCACAGACCTGCCTAGATAGAAATGCCTTTATGCACACTGTCTATACGAGAAATTGGCTTGGGTATAGTTTTACACAGTTAGAGCCGACCCAGCTATCTCTCTGCCCACAGTCATTTCTAGAGCAAGTTCTGACCATTGCAAAGTACAGCTTTGTAGCCTTTTTATCTTCTTACACTGGGAGGCTCAGTCCCGTGCCTGCCCTTTGCAGCTTTCCCAAGGCCAGGGCCTGGTACTGGCCTGAGGTGCCTCCAGCCTAGGCAGCCTGCAGGCCTGATGCACTTGCAATGCTAGACAGCTCACATCCACTCTTCTCTGTGCCCACAGTGTGCCTCTACATTAACAAGCAGGCCGATGCAGGCCCATACCTGGAGAGGAGGAAGCTGCAGCAGCTTCCTGAGCGCCTGGGGCCTGAGCGGCCCGCAGCTGTCCTGCAGCAGGCAGTGCAAGCATGCATCGACTGTGCACACCAGCCAAGGCTGGTCTTCTCCCTCGTCAAGCAGGGTTACCGTGGAGAGCTGGTGTCAGGTAAGACCTGGGGTGTGGGCGGCATGCTAGGGGTCTCTCTCTGTAGTGGTCCCCGAGCAGGAGAGTGTATGTGGCCAGACCCTGTCCTTCACCTGCAGGGCTCCAGGGCCTCTGCGAGCTTGAGAGCAGAACGCAGCTCTTGGGACAACTTGAGAGACAGCTACCAGGCCTGGACAGCAAGAGTGACCTCCTGCGTCCTCACCCCGACTCCTCTGCCCTCTCCCCACTTCCAATACCGTTCCTCCGCCTTCAAGTGTATTCACAATAAGGTCCCAACCACAGTGGGTTTTAAGATAAGGCCATACTTGTTCTTTGCCCTAAATCTGCCACTGGCTCCTATGTCCAAGTAAAAGCCCATATCTTTACAAGGCCCATAGACCTATGTGAGTTGCTTCAGGCTCCCTCTCCAAACTCAGGGTCACGTCTCACTCCCGTGTTAGGCTCAGGTTCGAAGGCTTCTTTGCTATTCTTTCTGCATCCTTCAATTAGTCTCCCACCTCAGGGCCTTTGCTCCTGCTGACTTCTTTTTCTGGAGTTTCTTACGCTCCATGCTACGTGCTCCTGGGAAGCCTTTTGAGTTTCTGCTCAAATGCTGCCTTATCAGAGTCCTGTCTTCTGACCTTGATCTGAGTATCAAACCTTCTTTATTTCCTTTTATAGCACTCACCACCATGGAGGATAGCCGGGGAAGTCTCGCCATTTCAGCCCATCATAGGGGCCACCTCTTTAAACAGGGTCCTGCAGCTTCCAGAGGAACAGACTGGCCTTCAGAGTACACAGTCCCCACTCTTTCCAATCTCTTGCCCCTCTATCCCACTCTGTACAAATCTTGTCACTCCCTGGACTTTGCATTATTGGAGACACATTGGAGAGTCAGGCTAGTGTCTTTGCTGGCTCTGCAATGTGGCTATGGCCTTCCTTAGCTCCGAGGAAAAGACAGATTTCCTGGCGATGGGCTGCTGGGTTAGTTAAAAAGGAGTCTGGGGAACCGTTTGGGGGTGCATGCCTGGAGCCCCAGTACTGCAGAGGCGGAGGCAGGCCAGCGTGGGCTACACCGAGTTCTAAGACATTGTGCTACCCAGTGAGATGCTCTCTCAAAAACTAAGGAAAGGAGAAAAGGAGGAGGAGAGGAGGGGAGGGGAGGAAAAGGAAGAGAGGAGCTTTGCTAGGTTCAAGTGCACGTGTCTGACACAGCATGGTATTCAAGGGCCCCATCATGGGAGGCCATAGGAACAGGGAGAGGAGGAAAATGCAGTTCCAGACCTCCTGGAGTTCCCTTCACTGCTTCGCATCTGTTTTCCACTTGAACTGTGCTTTTCCTTGCTACCCAGTAGGGCTCCAGACAGAGCTGAGGCTGAGGGAGACCCCTTGTCTCTGTGCCTCTTCTCTGTGATACGATTTGTCTTAGAGGCTCCGTACTCCCCGCTTGAGCTGGGAGAGCTGGGCCTGGACCTGGCTTTCCGGCTCTTCCCTCCTTGTGGCCTCAAGACCTTGGCCCCTGGGAAAAGCAACATCAGAAAGGATGATGTCTGCAGCTCCAGTTGGCTGAGGGAATTCCCAGGAAGCCAGAAGGGACCGTTTTCCCTAAAGTCTGGGAGATTGCTATCACACCGACTAATGCCTCTCGCCTCCACCTGGAGGTCATTAAGTGAGGGGTAGCTTTTTGCGTTCCAGTTGGAGATGGTGGTCCAACAGGGCTACAGGAGAGCATCAGTGTCCCCCAGAGAGAGGGGGGACTCGGGAGAAACAGCAGTATCCATCCTGCATTTAGAAGCTGCTCCCCAAACACCCCACCACACAGCTTGCAGAAGTTGGTAGAATCGAGGAGGAACTGCAGATAACATCATGGAGCCTCAAGTCCCTCCCAGCACACCTGTTAGGGTGCGCTGCCTTAGCCACACCCCCAAGAGGGAGAATTTATGAACTCGGGAGTCCACATCCTCTTGAAAGAAATGGGATTTCCCCCATGCATGCAATCCCACGAACACTTATAGAACATACGTGTAACTTAATGGATAGGCCTGAGGTCCCAGGACCCTCCCACCTCGGGGCCAGTTTCCGTATCATGCAGCCTTTTAAGACAGAGCCTGTGCTATGTGGGGATCTGCAAAGTATCTGGAATAAGCATAATGGATCAGAGCCAGTTTTAGATGAGCCACATAGATGCCACAGGAACTGGAAAACCAGTCTAGGGTTCTCCTCGGCTTCATCTTCTGTAACATGGGGCGATAGTCTTCCGTCCCATCCTCACGGGCCAACCAGGAGGCCTGTGTGGAGATGAGTTCCACAGGCCTTACCAAATCTACATGTAAGAAATGGAATCTTTTGCTGTCTGGTTATAATAAAAACTATTAATGGTAGCTCCTGCCATCTGCCAACCTCCAGGGGATACAATGCAAATCAGGAAGCTGCCCGCTAGGGTTGCTGTGAGTTGGGGAAACCTAGGTCAAAGCAGGGCATCCTGGTTAGGTGTCTGTGTGTCCCTCACACTGGAGCTGGTGTGCAGTTCTGGGGTGAGGGGCTGTGAGGTGGGAGACAGGACAGACCCTGCTTACGGCTTCAGGAAATCGATGCTACTTCTAAAGAGCCCCCTCTCTTTAAATATTTATTTTTACTTTATGTGCATTGATATTTGCCTGCACATATGTCTGTAAGGTTTTGGGCTCCCTGGAACTGGAGTTACAGACATTTGTGAGTTGCCACGCAGGTGCTGGGAATTGAACCTGGGTACTCTGGAAAAGCAGACAGTGCTCTTAACCACTGAGCCATCTCTCTAGCCCTGAGTTAAAGACTCTTCTCTTGAGGGTTTCCCTGAAATCTCCCTGGGGTCCTCTGATGACAAATGGCATGTAGGATTAGAGACGTCTGGGTGAACTCAAGTGCCTGTATATATCTTCTCCTTCAGACATGGGCAGAGATGGACTCCTGGGTCGAATTATCAATAGGCGTGTAATTACACCAGGAGAGCACACATCCACACTGCCAATGATCTGCCCACTTGGAGGGGCCAAAATCCCTGACACCCGGGAGCGCTGTGACTGGGTTCTCTTCATCTCTCATTCATAACAGAAAGCAGGACGGTTGGAGAATGGCTGCTTCTAGGGCTGGAGCAGGATGAGCGTGGAATATCCCTCAGTGCCCCAAACCCGAAAGTGTTGTATTGAAAGGACACAGGAGTCAACCCCAGTAGAGTTCCCAGAATGAAAGCTGGGACCGTTTGAGGAACAAGATAAATAGCTTTTGACAACCCAGGACATAAAGCATGTATCCTGGAGTCCCACAACATTTAACAAATGACTGAATAAAGAATAAATGGGTGAGATGAGACAAGCTTTCTTTACAGAGGAATTGTAGGTGATATGTGGGATTTGCCGCTGTTCCAGTCAGGAGGTTGTGCTAACACTCCTGAGACCCTTGGGGATGGGCAGGCTTAGTGATTGGGCCCAGAAGCCAGAATGTAGAACAGAGTGGAAGGGTGTGGGACACACTGGCTCCACTAGGTGTGGGAGCTTCACACCCCAGAAGTGCCCTGTGGGCATGACATAGCCCCTCTTTGGTGTCCCACGAAGAGTTCTTTGTCTCTGTAGTCCTTCTCCCCTGTCCCCAAGCTCCAGCCATAAGAAGAAAGAAAGAAAAAAACTCAGACAAATGCAAATGGACGGACAGACCTCACAGTATCTGAGCAGAGCTAGTCAGAGCTGCTGCGACAGTCAGGAAAACCAAGGAGAGGTTGACGAACTGTCACAGACCAAGCGGACAAAGGGCCATGACTACTGAACCCCTGTGCTGTCCTGGGTGGTACCCCTGGAATGGGGAACGAATTGCCCTCCCCGCTTTCCGTGCCCAGCTCTGAGTTGCTGCTTCTGGTTTTCCAGTCTCTGCTTCCTTTGACGGAAAACAGCACCTGAGGAGTCTGCCCGTGGTGAACAGCGTGGGCTATGTCCTCCGCTTCCTGACCAAACTGTGCCGCAGCCTCCTGTGTGACAACCTCTTCAGCCACCTGCCCTACCCGGGCAGCCTCAGTACCACAGAGCAGACCCAGGAGAGAGAGGATGGGAGGATGGAGTCAGGTGAGTGTGGAGGAGTTGCTTCCTCCTGCTGCAGGGACTTCCCTCAAGATTGGCAGATGATGAGGTAACTGCTGGGGGGGGGGCTGTGGCTGTCCTCTAGACTTCTAGGACTCCCGCTGACTGTAACTGACATATCCAGACTATCCCTGCCCTGTGCTTCAGGGAAACATGGCCTCTCCAGCTCCTGGGAGCTGATTCTCTAGCTTTGCAACCTGTGTGTTTACCATTTAGACGGTGACACCACATCTTCAGAGTGGTGCTCTTCCCCTTCCCGTAAGGAAACTCTGAGACACTAAGCAACCCCAAAGGGTTTAGGCTGATGGGTCAGATGCAGTCTGAGTGTCCCATGTTTATCTGCTTGAAGGAGCTGCATAACCAAGACCTTGTACTGTAGGGATTTGATTGGACCACACATCAAATGCATCAAATGCACCTCTTCCTTTGAGAACTGGCGTCTGCCCTTACCATAGGATGGAAAGTGACCAAAGCCTGAGCAACTTGGATCCCACAGCCACAGAATAGCCCAGGTTGAGTAAGTGGCCAGCATGCGGGGCAGGGAGGCCAATGCCTCATCCTCATCTGCCTCTGCAGATACAAATGGCAGGTAGAGTCCTTAACAAACTAGACCTGGATTTGTAGGATTCAGCAAGGGATGGCAGAGGCATGTTGACTTTTTTTCTTTCCCTGAAAGTAGCATTGCTAGTCTAGGAAAAGCCCATGGGAAACAAAGCAGGGCCAGGGCCAGTGTGTTTACCTTGGTTCCTTTCAAATATTCCCAGAAGCAACTGAAGGGGGAAAGGGTTGGTTCTGGCCCACAGTTCCAGGACGGAGTCCATCATGATGGGGGAGTCCAGAAGGCAGGGCGTGGAGCATCTACTCAGTGTCTCGAAGTCGGGGAACAGAGAATGATAGATGCTCTGGGGGGGGGCTTGGTTCCCCTTCTTCACTACATACAGACCATCAACTTCCTCCCAGAGATGGCACCATCTCCCCCCCCCCCCCCCGTCAGTCATCTGCGTCAGTCATCTGCAGTCTTTCAGATTTTCCAAGTGATTTGGATAGTAATTGAATGGATAGCCCAAACTCCAGCGAGCAGAGACCAAACTATTCACATGGCCATGTTAGAGCCACTGGGGGATACTTCTCTTCTTAATTTGGCTTCTAGTCAACCTTCTAGTCAGCCTCAGCCTCCTTGGTCTTGTTCACCCACTAAATGTCATCTGAAAGGAGGAAATGTTAATTGAGAAGATACCCCCATAAGATCAGACTACAGGCAAACCTGTAGGCATTTTCTTAGTTAGTGATTGGCAGGGGAGGGCTCCTGGGCTGGTGGTCCTGGGTGCTGTTGAAAGCAGGCTGAAGAAGCCACATGGAGCAAGCCAGTGAGCAGCATTCCTCCATGGCCTCTGCATCAGCTCCTGCCTCCAGGCTCTAGTCCTGCTGGAGTTCCTGTCCTGACCTCCTTCTGATATGGAAGTGTAAGCCAAATAAACCCCTCCTCCCTGACTTGTTTTTGCTCATGGTGTTTCATCACAGCAATAGGAACCCTAACTAAGACAGGGGTTGCATGTGTGTGCATATGGATAACACGTGTGCATGTGTATGAAGGTCAAAGGTTGATGTTGGATGTCTTCCTCAGCTGCTCTCCACCTTTTTGCTACAAGAAAAGATTTATTTTGATTGTATGCATATGTGTGTGAGTGCAGGTCTCCGAGGAGTCCACATAGGACACCAGATTTCCCTGGAGCTGGTTAAGGAGTTTGTGAGCCGTGCTGAGCACACACTATGGCTATTAAACTACTGAGGCATTTCTCTTCCATAGTCACCTTGTTTCCTTACACAGCCTCTTCTTGAAGTTGGAGCTCAGTAGTTGGCTAGGCTGGCTGGCCGGCAAGTCCAGGAAGTGTGTGTGTGTGTGTGTGTGTGTGTGTGTGTGTGTGTGTGTGCGCGCGCGCACACGCGCGCGCACGTGCATGTATGCATGAGTGTAAGTGTGTGTACTGGAATCTAACTCATGTCTTCACATTTGTGTGGAAAGTTCTTTGCTCATGGAATCATCTCTCCAGGCCCTCAATTTATAAAAAAAACAAAAGGCATGGGGGCTGTGGAGGAAGCAGAGGCAGGACTGTGGACTGGCCCTCACGACCGCCTTCTCTTCCTGCTTGGGTATCCCATGCATTTTGGTGAAGAGGCTTGGCAGAGCCAACAGATCCATCCCATGGAAGGTGGTCATGGAGCCTGCTCTCTTGAAGCCCAAAGGGAATTAATTATTCTAAACAGCTGACTTCAGTCAAAACTGTCCTTGGTCCAACTTTCCAAAGGAGGTAAATCAACCCATGGCTTAGAACAAAGTCTTAGGCAAACCAGAAACATGCTGGAGCATGAAGGAAATTCAGGTGTCAGACATTAAAGATGAAAGCTGGTTCTGGGGGCCCCTCCTCACGGAAAGGAAAATGTAAATGTACTAAAGTGGACCAGAATGGAGTCAGTGCTGATCCTCGGGCTGAGCTGGGGGCAAGCTGGAGGGGGAAAAAAAAATCTATATTGACTAGAGACTAAGTTAATGGAAAATGTAATTGAGGCGAATAAAATGCTCCGCCTGTGGGTGGTGTGGCCGGGTGCCCTTTGACCCCGGAAGGCAAGACGCAAGGTCACTGAGGCCCCCCGAGGGAAAAACGAGCATTGCTTATCTGTAAGAACAAGGGCGGGACCGAGCCTGGGAACCGAAAATCTGCCACCAGAACCTCCTGGAAGGCTGCAGTGAAACGCTGGGTGTTTGGTTTCTGCCACCTTTGAGTCCTTGGAGGACACGGGAGGCCCCTGCGTTCCACAGCGTCTGACACAGGTTAGGAGCTGCAGCTGCCAGGCGTGTGGACTGAGCCTGAGGAAAAGGACCCGGCACCCAGGTAGGATGAGAGGCACCTGTGTCTGGGCTGAGGGGAGAGGGGCAAGCCCCGCCCCTTCCCTTCCTGGTCCTGCCTGCAGCTTGTCCTCTCAGACCTCCAGTGCTGTGCTGGGGCTATGGGCTTTCTTCCGCAGGAATGGTTACCCGGCTCCCTGGTAGGAACTTGACAGCTCTCACAAGCTGAGCCAGGCAGGTTTCGGTCCAGCCTTTTGTCCCCTGGGCTCTGAGACTGGGCTCTGAAGTGCTGCCAGCTCTTAGTGTAGCCAGGTCAAGCTGTCCTCACTGAAACCCTCTGGACACTGACCAAGAACTAGGCAGAGCTGTTAGGGCCAGACCGTCCATCAAGAAAGGGCAGGGCTTTCAGCCTGGGGGAAGGTAGCGCTAATGACCCAGAGGCTCGCTCTGTACGGCTGCTCCCTCATCTGGGGAGTTATGATTGATGTGGGAGAAATGGGGTGAGGTGGAGTGTGTGTGTGTGTGTGTGTGTGTGTGTGTGTGTGTGGCGATGGGGTGGGTTGGAGAACAGGAATTGTGGAATAGGTCTCAGTCTGGAGTGTCTTTGCATCACTGGATCAAGAGGTATTTGTGAGAAGGATTTTTGTAGGTGATCTTGCTGCATTTCGGGCTTCATTAGAGAACACAAGAACTGGTCTGGTTTACTGAGTGAGATCAGTGGCCCAAGCTCCCTTGGCTGTCAGCAATCAAACCCCCTCTGTCTCTCTCTTCTGCCGCCTCTCCCTGTGGAGTTTGAGGACAATGGAGTAAGTGATCTGCCTACAGGGGTCCTGGAAGAGCCCCCCCCACTCCCACTGTACCCCAGCCCCTGGCAGACACAAGGACGTTCTTACTCAAACAGGGTGACTTGACCTGTCCTAGAGATTTCTTTGGCTTTGTCCATGGACAGCAGCCGAGGAAACCACAGTCCCCAGACAGACCACAATGGTGAAAAAAGAAACACAAAGCTCTCCAGAAAGTTCCCCAGACGCCCAAACCCTAAAAGGACCCGAGATGTACGCCTGTGCCGCGCATGCGCTTGCCTCTCCGCTGCCGCGAGCTTTTGTGGGTGCACGGAAGTCAGGCTATTGTTCTCCCTGAAGGAGACACAGAGTGGCTTCTCTGGGCTCTGGGATGGACACGGAGGGAGGCTTGCAAGGTGCCGGAGGCCTGCCTCCCCCTGCTTTGCTCGACGGGCACTTTCCACAGCCCCGGGCTGGATTCTCTCACTGGGGACCGAGAGCTGATTTCAGATGAGAAGAGCTTTCTGGGGGACCCAGGATGGAATAACACTGCCCATGTTCAGACCTGTGGTTTTCCAGGAAGGTGTTCTGGAGGATTCCAGGTCTGCTGGCCCCATCTGCTGTTCATACTCTGGTCTGCCACAAAGCTAAAAGGAGAAGTTCTCTCTGCCAGTGAAACTTCCTTCCACTTTAAGTAGTGGATGCAGATGACAAGTCTATATCACAGTGCAGTTAAGCGTATAAGTCACTAAAATTTTTCCATACCCTACAACCCGTCCGTCTACCTCTCTGTTGAATGACCTCGAGGTTTTGAGTAGTACACCAGCCATCTTTTATAGCAAAGCAAGTGCAATTGGATTTAGATGTAAGAGAGAATTTTAAGCAATGGTTTGCAACACAGTGACCTAGCATTGAGATTCCCTTGCGGGAAGTTTTTAATTTCCTTTCATTTTTATGTATGTTTCTGTATGTAGCTTTGTGCATGTACATGCATGTAACAACAGTGGCCAGAAGAGGGCATTAGATCTCGTTACAGACAGTTCTGTATCTCTATTCCAAACCCATCCAAACCCAGCTGGGATGCTGGGAACTGAACTTACGACTTCTGCAAAAGTAGTACAGGTTCTTCAACCACTGAGCCACCTCTCCAGCCCCCTGGGGAAGCTTCTCAGTAAGAGGGTCACAAGACAAAGACTGGATCTAGCTCAGCGTGGTCCCAAAGCTAATGTGCCACCTACTTCACGGTCCTTACTGTGTTTGAATAGTATCTAGAGAGCTGATCGATCACTCCAGATACTCCTTTCAATCGACTCCTTTTCAACAAGCCTTTCATCAATAATATCATTGTCTGATTTGCTAATTGTGTTTTATGGATATATATATATGTATATATATATATATATATATATTAAAATACGTGACTGTAAAAACATAAGAGCTCTGTGTGGTCCCTTATACCTGTAATCTCAGCGCTTGGCAGACTTGCTATAAATTCCATGCCAGCCTGGGCTACATTGTGAGTTTCAGGCTAGTCTGGGTTACTGAGTGAGGTTTTATCTTAAAAAAAAAAAATACCTGTAGGAGAGCTGGGAATTGGTGGCACACATCTTTAATCCCAGCACTTGGGAGGCAGAGGCAGGCAGATGTCTGTGAGTTCGAGACCACCGTGGTCTACAAGAGCTAGTTCCAGGACAGCCTCCAAAGCCACAGAGAAACCCTGTCTCAAAAAACAAAACAAAAACAAACAAAATACAAAATACCTGTAGGGGCTGGAGAGGTGGCTCAGCAGTTAAGAGCACTGGCTACTCTTCCAGAGGTCCTGAGTTCAATTTCCAGCAGCCACATGGTGGCTCACAACCATCTGTAATGAGATCTGATGCCCCTTTCTGGCTTGCAAGTGTGCATGCAAGTAAAGCACTCATATACATAAAACAAATAAATAAATCTTAAAAAAATACCACCAACAAAACTCATTTACTTGTCGTCAGCCAAGCTGTGTCCTCCCACATGATGCGTGATGTGTGATGCCCTAGCTCCTGTGAATGGGTCCTTATTGATGAGGTTCCATTGCACTGTAGGAGACAGGGGTACAGACATTGCCCACAGGGAGAACAGACTGGAGGAACACGCCTCAGCCACCAGGTCCTGAGTGACCACGAAGGCCCACGGAGGTGCCTGGCCTCTCCCCTCCCCTCCCCTCCCGAAGGCAGCTCTGCCCTCTGCCGCCCCCACCCCACTCAGGGCTCCAGAGCATGGGAGAAGGATAGCCTTGTTTTCCGCTATGTGCATGCTTCATCCTGCTTTAGCTAAAGCTGTGACGCGTCCTGCGAGGGGACACCTTTGACACCAGGGAAACGCCAAGCAAGCCAGTCTCTCAGTCCCTTTCAGTGTAGGATGATAGCAATCTTGTGTGGCTTCGGCCATTTCACACTTGGTGTCCTGTGTGTTCTCGCTGGTACACGTGCGCTGTTTTAGTGCGGCCCGTGTGGATTTGCTGTGCTGAGTCTTTGCTTTTTATTTCTTGGTGGTACTGAAGGTTAGAATCAGAGCTTGCCCGTGTTAGCATGTGCACACTGCTGCGCTGTCTTCAGCCCTCTGTTGTTGTTGTTGTTGTTTCTGTTTTATTTTGAGACAGGGTTCCGAAGTTGCCTAGGCAGGTCTTGAACTTGGAGCCATTTTGCCCTAGCATCCAAGTACCTGGGATTACAGGCCTCATCCTCACGCTTGGGTATCTGAAATGCTGTTCATTCCGTCTCTCAGAAGCCAGGTGTGAGGTTGATGGCTTGTCCCCATAGTTACCCACCTAGGCAGACTTTGGAGTCACCAGAGTGTCCTTTGCAGGGGAGGGGAGGGGAGTGTCCTTTGCAGGGGAGGGTGCCCTGGCTCCTGCACTCTGGGGTGGCTTTTGTCTTCTGACCAATCCATTGGGAACCTCAGCCTGGAGGCTGGTTTTTATTACTTTATTTTCACCCAGGGTCATGAACAGCTCTAAACCAGCAAGTCATGTCCCCACGGTTCCGGTGTCCTCTATTTGTGAGTATCAGGATGACTCAGGCATACCCTCTTTCGATTTAAAATATTTAGTGCAAGTGTCTTTATTAAACCCTTTTTCATTGTTTGTCACAAACCTACATGAAGTCACATGTCACCACTTAACGACATGGGTCAAAGCATCTTCTGAGTAATGACCCTGTTCTTGATAACACTAGCTGTGTGTTTACCCAGTAAATGTTCTTGAGCTCGCCTCTGTGCCAAGCTCTAAGAAGAAACCATCGTCGTGGACACCGGAGCACCTGCCACTTGGAACAAGGGAAAGGTTGGCTATGAGAACTTCCCAATAAAGGGATTGCACACTGCATTTCTACTTCCTGTCGTTACAGTGGTGCTGGCCTTCAGGATGTACTCAATAGTCAGGGTGGAGAGGCAGAGCACTCGCTTCCAGAAAACACCTTGCCGCATGTGGTCAGGCACACGACATTTAGGCTGCCCGGCCTTCTGCGGCGCATCCGAGGATCCGTGGCATGCATGGCTGCTTTGCTCTTTCTGTGTTGAGATAGCTCTGTTGTTCAGGTGTAATCCATTCATTGGCTGGCAGACACGTGGAGTTACTTCAGTCTTTGAACAATACTAGTGTAAACTCTTGTGCACAACTTTTTGTATGGACAGATGTTTTTATTGCCTTTATGCACACAGCCAGTTTGCAGTTTCTGAGTCGTGTGGTAATTCTTATGTGTCTGTTTTCCAAAGTGCCTAGGCTGTTTTTTTTATTTATCAGCACTGCATGAGAGTTCTAATTTCTCTGCAAACACTTCTATTGTCTGTTTGGGGTGGGGGGGGGAGGAGCTTTGTGGTACTGAGGTCTTGAGTGGTTGGGTGGCAAAGTTTCTCCTTGACCTGTTCATGGCAATCATCCTAGGTGTGTTCATTACAATAAAGAAATTAGTGAGGATTCTAACAGGGATTGTGTGGGTCTTGTTGAACAATTTTAGTGTACTGCCATCTTAATTTAGGTTAAAAAAAATCTATGACTGGAATTTTCACTGTTCATTTGTATCTTCTCCCAACAGTGTTGTGTATTTGCCAGAGCATTAATTGAGATTCCTTTTGTTCAATTTGTTTTTTAAGTAGTTGACTGTTTTTAATCTTATTGTGTGGAGTTGCTTTCTTAATCTCACCTTCAGGTTGTTCTGTGGAAGTAATTGATTTTAGTGTATTGATCTTGCGCCCTACAACCTTGCCGATAATTTATCAATTCCAGTAATTTTAAAACTGGGTTAGTGAGGCCTTTGTGTGCACAGAGGTCATTTTACTTCCGTCTTCCATCTGGAAGACTGTCCTTGCTTTTTCTTAGCAAAACTTTCAGCCACAGCTGAAACCTCCAGCTCAAAGCTGATGGCCAAAGCAATGCTGGCCATAGGAAAAAGCATCAACAGCCACTCTTCCCATGAACTGTATCACCTATGGATTCGAATAGCCTTTGTTGAGGAATTCCCTTCAGTCCTGGCTTATTGACTGATATTTACCATGAAAAGGTATGAGGTTTTGTCCCATGTTTTTCTGCATCTATTGAGATGGTCCTGTGGTCTTTGAACTTTTGTATTCTATCAATACTGTATATTAATTTATTTTCGGATGTTGAATTCGGTTCCTTCTTGGATGTGGTCAGATTCAGTCTTGTTAGTACTGGGGGAGGATTTCTGCGTCCATGTGATCAGGGTCCTAGTGCTTGTAATTCTCCTTTATTCGGGTGTCTGCCTGGATTTCGTAACAAAGTGACAGGAGCTTCAGAAAATGAGTTGGAAAGCATTCTCTCCTCCTTTACTTTTTTGGAAGAAATCTGTATTTTTTTTTTTTTTAAATCTTGAAATGGTTGATAGTTTGGCTATAAATCATTTGTGTTTTCTCTTTATTTGTGGATATTTTTTAAATTGCTGATTCAATCTCTTGCTACAAGTCTATACTATACAGATTATCATTTCTTGAGTCAGCTCCAGTAATTTCACCATTTCATTCAAACCACCTAATTAATTATAGTCATTTATATCATACTTTAGCTGTTCTTACCTCTGAATCTAGTGATCTGAGTTGCCTATATTTTTGCCAAGTCATCTAAAGGTTTGTTAACTTTGTTACTGCTTTCAAAGGTAGCTTTTGCTATTGTTGTTTTTATTTCCTAGTGTTTTTCTACTAGATTAATTTCTGCTCAAATCTCTGTCCATTTGCTTTAAATTTAATTTGCTGACTTTTACTGCCTGAAGGTGAAGGATCGTTATTCATATGGAATTGTTCATCCCCTACAATATAAGATTTTTTTAAATTTTATATCTATGGGTTGTTTGTCTGCATGTATGTCTGTATGTGTATGTATATGCATGCCTGATACTTGCAGAGGCAGACGAAGGTGTTTGATCTCTTGGACCTGGAGCTACAGACAGTTGTGCCAACATATAGATCCTAAGAATTAAGTCTAGGTTGTCTGGAGGGAAAGCAAGTGCTCTTGACTGCTGGACCATCTCTCTAGCCCTAAAATGGATGTTTTTACACCTACAAAATTTTCCCCTAAGTTAGGGTCATGGTCTTTAGTCTTGATGGCTTTTGTTTCCAGGAAGTCTCCATGGAAGTCCCCAGCAATGGGACCAGCTACTTGCCGTAACAATATCAAATTTTAGTTTTTCAGTACCTTCTTGAAGGAGGAATCCAGACATGGTGAAGATATCTGGGCCTTGTATTTCTTCATTGTGTTCCAATCCTGGAACACTTGTTGTTACTGATTGTGTTTCTGCTGGGATATTGGGATCTGTTTTGATGTCGTTTAATCTACAATTATTAATGAATCTAAAAAGATATGGTTTTGACTAAGTGGAGTGGGGCTAGAATGGTTTCCTTTTTATTTTTATCTCTTTGATGTATGTGCACCTTTACACACACACACATGCATACACTCACATACACACACATATACCTACACGCACGCATGTGCACACAGTGCACACACATACACACACGCACACACATACACGCACGCACACAGACATGCGCACACACACACATACACTCACACACTGGTCACATGTACAGTTCACAAGCAGAACTCTTGATTGGGGGGGGGGATTTATTTCCAAGTGGATTTATTTCCTAAACGTGGAAGAACCTGTCTTTTGGTCCCTCTCTCTGGTGAGGCAGGGTCTCATTCTGCTGGACTGGTCTTTGCGCTCTTTGCGCATGCTCACTGGCAACAGTGACCATGTCAGAGCAGGGTTTGTGAAGACTGAGGCTGGGCTAGCTCCCTGGACTGCTCTCTCAAGTCTGTTCCCGGCATCCTTACTTTTCAGCTCAGGCAGCCACTGCCGAAGAGTGCCTGGCAAACCCCGTGGGCATGAACCGCTACAGCATGGACTCGGCCTTTAGCCACAGGGGCTCCTTGACGCACCCCTCCTCGCTGTACTACAAGAGGCTGAACTCTGGAGACAGCCACGCTGCGGGAGGTCCCACCGCCGCCATCAGTGGGTCCCGTACCAACCCTGTGCCCTCGGGAGGTCCATCCACAGCTGGACTGAGGTTCCCAGCCTCCAGCCCCAAGAGGAACGATGTGGAAGGAAACAGATGTGGTAATGCAGTGCATGCTCTGGCTTCCTGGTGGCTTAACGGCCTCCACCCTTGCCCTGGAGACACAGCAGGGGTGGGGTGGGCGGGGGTTAGATTACAGGGGTTTGAACATGATACTGGAAACCAGAACTTTCCACAAAGCCCCTTAGATTTTTCCCTTTTCTTATAGGCAGCCAATCTCTACCTTCTGATCATAAATAAAGAAAATGACGCATTAGGTTAGGAATAATTAGCAGACTACAGGAATATCCACTCACTCAAATGCCATTGACAGCTTAGTTTAAGAGTCGGGGGGGGGGGTGTTCCCCTTCAATGCAGCCCCCCCCCCCGTTCATGGTGCCTCTGCCATGCCTGTCAAACTTCACACCCTGCATGTAACGGACATAAGTGAGGACGACACAGATAACGCCCCAGAAGCAATGCGCATGGTTTCCACTCACGATCCATTGGCAAGACTGGACTAGGAAGGAGCCCAGCTCTGTATCCAGAAGAAAACAGCATAGTAACAGCATACTTTTGCATAGTAAGAAGTCGATTGATTCATCTGTGGCATGAGTTCACTGAAGAAAGCAGAAAAGACTGGAAAAAAAAAAAAAAAGGTGTCTCAGTACTGGTCATTATGCCAGTAATGAGAAAGGTAATACACGGGACTACGAGACTGCTCAGAGGAACATGGGATTCTAGGAACTACATGGAGGCCATTCTGATAGGTGCTTTACAACAGGTGGGCCCAATCTGCAGCCTGTGGACCCTCTGTAACCAGAGTAGCAGTGAATTTAGCATAGCACGTGTCGTATGGCGACGTAGGACACCCTTGCTTCACAGAGCCCTTTTCGAGCTTTGGTATTTCATTAATGGATTAGAAGCGATCCAGCAGAGTGGATAATTTTGTGGATGAAGCAGCTTGGAATTCTGGGTTTGCTGTTCTCTAACCATATGACCCATTTGAAGCCCTGGTTTTCTCATGCCTCCGTTCCCTTGCCTGAGAAGTTGAAATGGTCATATCAGCCACCCTTCCTTCACAGAGCCAGGGGGAAGTTTGAATACATTACCAGTAGCTTTAGTAGAAGTGGCCATAGTAAGTGGTTAACAAATACTAAGACCATAGATCCACGAATACATCCGTCGACAGGCGGCAGCCTCTCCACAGCTGGGATGGCTGGAGGGGGCTCGAGGCCAAAGTCAGGGGGTCCTCAGCTTGCTCCTCTGTCGCCCCCCACTGGGCTGGCTGTGTGCCCTTTGGCAAGCCATATGTCTTCTCTAGGTGTGGATCCCTCCTCCAGTAACCGCCATGAGTCATACGTGAGATGTTTTGTACAATTCAAGACCCTCAGACAGCTTCATCCATCCTAGATGAGCCTCTTCTCAGCCATGCAGCCTCAGGAGAGAGAGACCCACCTAGGTGGGAGGAAAGAGACAGAGGGTTGTGCCTCGAGTCTCTGAAAGAACTTTCCATTTCTGCGACATCTCATTTTCTAGAATTGAGTCCCACGGCCAGTAGCTGCAAAGAAAACTGGGAAATGTGGGTTTGGATTACAGGTGGGAATCAGGTGGAATCAGGGACCCTGCTATGCAGAAATGAGGGAGGAGGTGTTCTCCAGGCAGCTAGCAGTCCGAGCAACACTCCCGTATGAGAGTGATTGTATTCTCCATTTTCCTTCCCCTGGCCCGTTATTGCCTAAGTATCACTCTGTCCTGCCACACACGGGAAACGACGGCCTGTCTTGTGAGGGTCTCATTTATATTTGCATCCCCAACAGCTTATGTTAAACTTCCATTTATCGAGCATCAACCATGGGCCACTTTCTACTGTTACTTAGGATTTATCGTGTTATAATGTGTTGCTTCTAGGATGTGTTTGTTACACAGATACATTCCCAGGTAATGTGGTTTAAGATTTCTGTCAGTTGTTGAACCGAACTGTCGGACGTGGCCGACTCCAAAGCCTGGATTTGTTCAAACTACTCCAGGAGCTTTGTTTACATTGTTTCCCAGGGTGGGGTGGGGGCTTCTGAAGTGGAAGAGAATGGAGAAGAATGTGAGGGTGGACAGGAATACAGCCCACTGTGACTCTTTATCCAGGGCCTCTCCACAATTGCCATGCTTGAAACAAACCTGCCCAGTTACCAGTGATAGAAAGCATGATAGAAAGCATGGTGGTTCAGCATGCCCAGCCGAGCATCACATTACAAGCACCGGGAAATCTTAGCCTCCTTCCCCATACTTCCACCTGCCGGCCTGCACACCTGCCTGGTCCTCCGAAATTACATCACTGGCATCAAGAAACTGTTTCTTTTTCAGTGGGTTTGACCCACCCAACTCATCAACCCTGGAAAGACACCTAGAAATGGATTTTCTCCCTAACTACTAATCACAATGGATTAAAACCACAGAGTCTGGAAGGTGCCCTGGGCTGTAGGCAGGAGGGGATGGGGTGATGACTGTATAAAGCCTTAACACAACTTCCTGCTGCCCTGTCCCTGCTGCCTGGGCAGCCAGTGCCTGGCAGCCAGGGCCACCATGGTGCAGCATGGTTTGCCTGGAATTTAAGCCGAATATTTGGGAGCTTCTGTCTCTTATTCCAGATACAACCAGCCAGAGCTATATAGGGCTGTAAAGAGGTTTCAGATAACAAAAGCTTCCTGAACATGCTATAGAATTCCCGACCACAGTCATAGCTCAAATGTTTCCTATGGGCTGGAGTTAGCTTCCATGGGATGTGGAGTCGGTGAGGGATAGAGAATTCTGCTAGAGAAAGAGGATGGGGACTCGTGTGAAGCCTGGCAACGGCAGAGGCAAGAAAGGGTTTTCTGCTTGTGGGGAGGAGGGAGTTAGGGCTAGGGTGGTGTGGGGAAGCCCGCTGCACAGTTTGGGGTCTGGGTCAGGCAGATGGGGCTTCAAGTACAGCAACTGTAACCACACCTTTCTGAGCAGGGGACTGAGATGGTTGCTGTTGCTGGATTTGGGGGCTGAATCTACTGGACAGTTGTGGATGGCATAGAAGAATTTCCACTAGCTTTGGGGCTAATTCTGACTTTTACAACCTTATCCTGTTCGATCCTTGCTTCCCAAGATGGCAGGGAGACAATTAAGAGACTGGGGTGTTCTGGTTAGCAGGTGTCCACTGAGCACCTAGGCAGGGGCTCTTCTCAGGTCTAAGGAGGGTGCAGTGAGCAGAGCAGAAGGATCCCATTCCAGAGAGACAGACCTCAGCATGTTATTGTGATTGCTGTTGGAAAAGTATGGCAGTATTAGATGGGGATGGCTTGCTGGATCTCCTCATCTGGGGAGTCAGGAAAGGCTCCAGGGAGGCAAGGTGAAACCCACTGAAATAAGAAGGGACATTTGAGTCCTTTGAAGGAGAGGTGTCCAGAGGCCCCTGGCAGAGACCACTTTGTGTCAAGGCAAGTGGGTGGAGGCTGCTTGCTGAGAAGGAATATTTCCCAGCCTGGCCTGCTGGCCTCCAGGGACATCTTCTGCCCTGTTGGCAGGTCAGCTTGTCTTGAAAGATTAGTAGAAAAATCTGATTAAAATATAAGGAGGGATTGGGGCTCCTCTCTGGTCTCTGTCACCTCGGAGTATCTTACAAACTGCAATGGAAAGATTATGAAACATTAACTGTTTCAAACCAAGTGATTTTGCGTAGACTGTGGGCTAGCCTGGGCACCTCACACTCTAAATACCCTTGGACACACACCCGAGGCCTTCGGAGATGTCAGTGTCACTGGCCTGAGGTATGCTTGGAGGGAATGTAGAGATCCTGCCGCACACATCTGCCCTCTGGAGAACTGCGGAGCCAGGCACAGCTGTGGGAGGCAGGGAGCTCCTGGCTCCTGGCTCGTCACTAGCTTGTTCCACTCTCCCACACTGTGAGCTAAAGTTTCCCCTGAATTATGAATGAGCAAAACCCAATTATGTGTGTGCTCGTGGGAAGACAGAAGGAGATCTGCAGATGTGGCACCTGTGTGTCGGCAGAGGCTGAGGGATTGCTTTCAGCACTGAGTCTCCCGGTGGCCTATTTTTCTGTTAACCATCAATTTGGCCTCAGGAGCAACAAGATTTAATTATGGACCCATTCACCACTGGGTCTCACTTTTCACGTCTCCACAGCCCATGGGGAGCGGCCTGACCAAGCACTGGAGAATGCTGTGGGTGGCGATTGCTTGCATTCTCTGTCCATGCAGGGTTCATTCACTCCATCATGGATCACTGCTGACCTATGACATCTGCTGCTCCAGCAGGGTCAGACTGGACACATCTGTCTCCCCGACACCTTCCCAGTGGCTGGAGCAGGGTGTGGTGGCGTGTTGTTTTTTTCTCTGTGAGTACAGACCTGCACTGGCTTTGCAGATGCGCTGCTGGAAAGTTCCATTTTCCCTCTCCAGCATGAGTCTGTGTGCTTTGGATGAGGAGCAACTCCTGAGGTGTGACTTAGGACACCTTCAGTCTTGTATGACTAAAAGGCCCTTTGGAAATACTCCTGAGCCAGCCTGGAAAAGGAAAAAATGCCCACAGCTGGCATCAAGTCCCAAGCATGGAGAACACTTGCCTGGATGTGTGCTCTCTACAGCCAGCAAAGATAGGGAGCCCTCCGCGCTGCTCAGACAGCAGCTGCTGTCCCTGACCTCCCTGTGCGGGCTTTTATCAGTGTGCTGGACTTCCCCTCGCTCCTGCCAAGTATAGGAAGATAGGTTTGACCTCTGCTCTCATCGCTCCAGAGCCATTCTTGCTAAAGACTTCCCGCCTTTGTGGTCAAGACATCTATGGCTGCCCTGATTAACAGCCATGCTCCAGTGGGCGGGCCTTGAAGACAGATGTGATTTCTGATTCTTCAGCCCCATGTTGAGTGCAGATGTCCTTAAACAGAGTAAAAATCATCTCTCACTAGTGTGCATCAGTGTTGGGAGGCTCCAGGAAAGATTAAAGTCAGTGTCATGCCTGGTGCCAAACCATCTTATGGGACCTTTCCAGGTCCAACAAGGAAAGGTCAGGGGGGAAAAAAATCTCAAAGAAAATCCAGTTCTCAACCATCACAGATTCAGAAGAAACCAGTTTCCTCTTAAGACTTAGAAAAGGGAGCCGGCATCGGCTTCTCGGCTTCTAGAATTATCCTGTAGGAAAGCTGCTGTTTGTTCAGTATCTTGGCCTTTTTCTAGCCTTGAAGTAGTGGCAAGGGTCACTCACACAAAGACAGCGTGTTTCCGCAAAAACATACCGGTCTATTCCGCAGTCGTCAATTCCACATTTCAAGTATATTCACGGTCTGCACAGCTGTGGAGGGGTCAGTGTAATAATGTATGACCCCTGCAATGAGAGGATTTGGGTTGTATTGTTCAGCAAACACCCAAGACCAAGACCAAGCCAGGGAAGGAAGTGCTTGGTTCATGGCTGCGAAATGAACGTGGAGGATTCTCGGGGAATTAAGATCTAAGGCTACAGAAAGTATATGCGTGGTGGTAACTGCAGGGAATGTGGGAGGCAGGAGGTCCAATGGGGAGACACGTGATAACCAGAGGAGGAGGTCCAATGGGGAGACACGTGATAACCAGAGGAGGAGGTCCAATGGGGGACACGTGATAACCAGAGGAGGAGGTCCAATGGGGAGACACCTGATAACCAGAGGATGGCCATGGCGTTCACAAAGGGGTCTGATGGCTCCCGGGCTGGCAAGCTCTTGTGTTCATGCTCTCCTTCTCCACCCCCACCCCTCTGTGTGTATGTGTGTGTCTCTGTCTCTCTCATCACTTTGTGTGTATGTGTATACATGTGGCTATGTCATGGAGCTGTACATTTGTGTATAAATTGCACTCTGTGTGCCGAACACAGTCTTCGGTGATGCCTTCCCCCCTTGATCAAGCCAGGGTCTCCTTAGGTTAGCTGGTTCACAGACTTCCAGAGATTCTTCTGCCCCCCCTCCCCCATCTCCTCTGAGGATTACCTGGATTACAGACAGCTCTGCAGCATATCTTATTTTTATGTGAGTTTAGGGGGTCTCAAACTCAGATTCTCATGTTTGTGTAGTAAGTGCTTTACTCCCTGAGCCACCTCCCCAGCTCCTAATCCCTGGGCTTTGATGGTTGATGGGATATCACTGGGAAGGAGGAGGGCAAACAGGGAAGCAATAGAAAATGGGCCATAATCAGTGTGCCACATGGAAGTGTAGGGAGCCTCTTCTCTGTGGAACTCCTGCGGTAGGTTGACCAGAAGGCCCAGTGCTTGCTCCCTTCAGTATCCCCTTCAGCCTGTCTGACTAGAGAATGCTGCCATGATCTAAGATAAATCGTGGTCTAAGCAGGGGAAGATCCAGGACTTGTCCCTAGGTCCCCCAACCCCAATTCCTTCCTCTGCATCTCAGAAGGCAAGGCACTGTGGCATACAGCTGCTATCTTGGAGGCGTAGTGCACAGGCAAGGGGGACTCAGAGGGGCCTTGAGTGGCAGATGTACACAGACACATCTTTGCCTCAGGGACAGCTGGAGGCAGTGGCAGTCAAGAAGACAATACAGATTAGCCACGCCGTTAGCAGTGTGGTTTTACCACAGATTCAGCAGGGATGGCAGGGAGAAGGGCCAGCCGGAGAGACGCCATCCTAAAGACTCCGAAGAACCCAGTACTGGGACAAAGGACGAGCGGTGAGGTGATGCCATCTTCCTCTGAGAGCAGGTACAGATGGGCCCTCCCAGGGCTGCTGGAGGTGAAGTGGCAAATCATTCATTCTGCAAAGTCCAAAAGCGAAGGCCCAATCACAGCTCAGTTCTCTCCCACTGCTCTCTCCAGAGGACCCAGAAAGGGCCGGTGTCACTCAGCCCACAGCCCCCGGTCACCAACCAACACCTGCTTACAACAGATCCCAAGCCACAGACAGCACTGAACAGAGAGAGGGTCTGGAAGGCTTCAGCTGAACCAGAATTTTTGTTTGTTGAGGATGAAAGCTCCCCAAACTTTCTTCCCTGGACAGCACGGCACAGAGCAGCTGCTGCCTTCCTAGGCCCCTTGCTCCTCACTCACAGGACTCACCCGCCACACCGCGCCGTGAACTTCAGAGCACTAAGGATTCCCCCCAGGCCAGCTAGGGGTGGGCAGCACCAGTAGGCAGCACCAGCTCAGTGCCGAGTTTCCCTGGCTCATGGTCTCTCCTCTGCTCACTCCCTTGCAGCCTCCAGCCCCTCTCCAGAGGTACAAGACACCCGGCGACCAAGCAGCAGAAACCCTTCCACCTGGACTGTAGAGGACGTGGTCCGGTTTGTGAAAGACGCTGACCCTCAGGCTCTGGGGCCTCATGTGGAACTCTTCAGAAAGCATGTATGGAAGTAGTGGGTCTTGGGGGAGGGCCAGGGGATGGGATGCGTGGAAAGAGAGAGGAGTTCAGGATCCCTCAAATGTGGTGATCTAGACCAAGCCCTCTCAGTCTTGAGCCAGAGATGAGAGAGACAGCACAACCAAAGGCCCGTCAGAGCAGAGCAACTACCAGTGTTTTTAAGGGACATTTTGTTCTTCTGTTCTCTCTCTTGGGCCTTGGCTGCTTTTCTGCCCACCTGTCCATCTGCCCATCAGTCCATCCATCCATCCATCAATCCATCCATCCATCCACCCACCCATCCATCCACCCACCCATCCATCCATTTATCCATCCATTCACTGTCCGTCCATCCATCCATTCATCAATCTGTCCATCCATCCACCTGTCCATCTGTCAGTCCACCTGTCTGTCCATCCATTCATCTACCCACCCACCCGTCTACCCAACCATCCATCCAACCACTTTCCCACCCAACCTGTATGCACCCAACCATTATTTACAGCGCACCTTCAATGTGCCAGGCAAACTGTGGTCCAACCCATTTTTACTGGTTACAATGGTGGTTCTCAACCTTCCTACTGCTGTGTCCCCCAACCACAAAATTACTCTCACTGCTAATTCATGGCTGTAATTTTGCCACTGTTACGAATCATAATGTAAATATCTGCGTTTTCTGATGGTCGTTCGACCGCACAGGCTGAGAACTGCTGGCTTAGCGGCTTCCATGAGAAAATACGTTTAAGTACATTACATGAGGCCTCACTCAGATACATAGCCTTCGTATAAGTATTATAACAACTTAGCTACTTCTGAAGTATATAAACATGGAAGTGGGTAGAAAGGTTAGAATTATTATATTACTCGCTCATCTTATTAATTCTGTATTGCTGGTATAACAAATTGCTACAAATGCAGGTCCACCTTAAGGTGGACATTGCTTGTCCTTATTTCTATGGGTCCGGCGGGAGCCTTGCCAGGACCTCCATACGCTAAGATCCAGGTGTTTGCAGGGATGCATTCTAGTCTTTTAGGGGCAATCTGCTTGCCTTTCCCAGCTTCGAGATCCTCTTTAAAGCCAGGAGCATCAATCCAGGTCCCCTCAGGCTGGCCTGTCTGTGGGTGGATTTAGTTGGATGACAAATGTGATACATGGGATAGCTGGAATGGAGGTGAAGTTATTTCTGATCCCTTCAGTTGTATCTTAGAGATACAAAGTAGCAAATGGACTTCAGGCAGGGGAGACGAGGGCGCCACATTTGTTTGCTGTAACTGTTCCCCTGAGCTCTCTCAGAACCAGTACCAAGTGCCCTCCAACTGAGCCTCCTGCCTTCTAACTGCCCCGTTAGCACACCTTGCCCGTAGCCGCCACTCGGGTGCTCTGACCATCTTCTGGGTTTTCTCTTCCCAACCCCTTGGTGCCAGGAGATCGACGGCAATGCCTTGTTGTTGCTGAGGAGTGACATGATCATGAAATACCTGGGACTAAAGTTGGGACCGGCACTGAAACTCTGCTACCACATTGACAAGCTGAAGCAAGCTAAGTTCTGAACTTCCTGGAGTTGGAGGCAAACCCCAGACCTCGAGAGCACCCTCCACCTGACCAGCACCCAGCCAACATCCCCAGTGGATTGTCTCCTTAAAACTAACAGCCACAAGACTGCCTTTCTATCAAACGCGTGCATCTTTGCCTTTTCTAACATTCCAAACGGCCCCTCTCAAAGGCTCAGCTGTGTCATCGATTTGTCAGAAAAAGCAGGAAAAGCCAATTACATTTAATGTTCCTGACATGCTGGCCACTCTTTATGGGTGCTATTGTGTCATGACGGAGTAGATAACTGAATGTTGTCACCCAAGGAGTGCCCTGGAGGGGGGGGGGTGGCTCTCAGAGTAATGAGAAGGACCTTGTCCTTGGAGGTGGTGTGAGGCTGCCCCCTGAGAGGCAGCCTCTCACTGTCCTGGGGACCGATCGGCATGAAGCCACTGGAGTTAGCTCTGGGCTGACAGGACTCCCAAGGATGTCTTGCCTCACCTTGCACTATCTGAAGCTTGAAGTTTGTTGCTGGCTCAAAGAGAAGCGAGATGTTTTAGTCTTAGCTGCGAAGTCCTTCACTTGCCCACCAGGGGGCAGACGACCAACGAGGTTTCAGGGTGCAGACTGCAGCGGCTGCTCATGCAGAACTCAGTGGCTGGGTTAGGGCTTCCATAGCAAGGTCTGACTTGCACAGGGACAGGGGACTGATTCCATAGTCAGTACCCCAGACTGACACTTGAGAAGAAATTGTGATCTGAAGGGTTCCTAGTTCATGTGCACTGACGAGTTAAGAATTTGGAAGCAACTGTCTCCCTAAACGAAGATTCCCTCCCCTCCCAGACTCTTGCTGCAGGCTGAGAGGCTGCAAATCTTGGTGACCTTTAGCTATGGGTATTTCTTGAAGAAAAAGAAGGGAAAGGAAACTGTTTCAATGTGGTGTGAAACGGGAGAGTGCTGATTTCAAGTTATGTGGCAGAATTCTGGAACTGTGTCTGTGGCTAACTTTTCTAGTCTTCAGCAAATACACACATGCATCTTTATCGGGTTTAATTCGATTTGCAAATAGGTTTTCACTCTCCACTGTGATGTAATAAGAAAAAATTGATTTTCTACCCTTTGCAGCTGTGTCCAGAGAGGGATGGAGCCACGGCTTACTGGGCTTGGGGGGGGGGGGTCACCTCTTTGTTGTTATTCTTTGTCAAGTCCTTTCTTTTTCCTTTGTTTATTCTGAATGGAGAACTCATGGCCACATCCCTTTCCTTAAAGGTGTGTCTGAGGAGGGTGGGGAGGTCAAGATAACACAGGGTCTCCCATGGCCACAGTGTGGATTAGAAAAGGCATCTCCCCGAGGTTGCATCCTGAGCAAGGTCTCAGCCAGCAAGAGGAGCTGGGGCATGGGAGGTTGAGCCCTCAGTTCTCAGTCAAATGTTCTGCTCCAGGACAAGATAGGTATAGCCTCTTGGATAAAGCTACCTATGGTGCAGATCAGCTAGAATTTAGGCAAAGACCACAGGAAACGTCCCATTCCATGGGGCCCACTGTGATGTTCTCTGTTAGAGAAAGCCTGGCAGGACACTAAAGGATCTTTGTGACTTAGACAGTGGTGGTTGGACTTGAAATATGACAGAGGAGAAAGTCCCAAAGCTTCTCACTGAATGAAAGGCATCAGGTGTCTGATGAGTTTGATGCCCGTTATTGTTAGCATGTGACAAAATGACCTTGAATGGGGAGAGTCTTTCAGACGTTAAAAGCAGTGAGCAGACTCTGCCTTGGGAAGGCTGATGAGGCAAGGTGCTTGCCGCAGCTCTGAAGTTACGTCCTTGTCTCAGAAAGTGTCAGACAAGTTCGCGGGGACAGAATTGCTGGCTGCTGGTGTGAGAGTATCGGGGTCTGGAACGATCACTCCACTCAGCTGTTTGTGCCCTGTCCCTGCAGACTCATGGCACGTCCTCCAGGGACACTTAAGCTCTCCAGATGTCCTGCCTGACCTTACCAGGGCCTCCCAGGTGTCCCCAAGTTAAAGGCACCCAAACAAGTCAAACAAGAGAGGCCTCAGGAGCTTTTGAAGGAGAGCTAGGGCCTGGTTCAAGTCTGTGGGAGGACTGGGGCTGTGTCCCCATACCACGACTCCCACTCGGGTGCTGTCATATTTCACACGAAGCCTTAAGTTAGCTTGATTGCAGAATCCCAGACATTTAAGGTTTGGCTAAAAAAAAAAAAAAAAATGTAAAAAATAAAGAAACCAAGAAGCAGTTTCATTATTCTTGGCATGAGGGCTGCAGTACCACAGAAGAACCAATTCTTCCAGCCTGTTTTTGCATGGAATCTAATTAGCTGACCAAATCATTGTAGCAGTGCCGCAATTATAATTAATTTTCATCCCTCTCAAAAACCTTGTCAAACAGGGCAGCTAAATAGCTTCTCAAATGTAAAACACGCCAGGCCATTTCCTCTAAACAGACCTTAAAGGTCTAGGCCATGGGGGTTTCTCTGGCCAAATGAGAAGGACTTGAACTCACATTTGGCAGACAGCACACTCGCTGTTTCATCTGCATAGTTTTGCTTCAGGTTGTAGTGAATAATGATCAAATATTGTGTAATTCCAAACTAAAGAGTGTGTGTGCTCATGTTCCAAACATTTCCGATTACATTTGTCCATGAAACACTTGGAGAAAAAATAAAAAAAGTCAAGAGACAATTCTGTTGCCTAAAGCATTTTTAAATGTTTTATGAAACAGGTTATTCCCTTTGTGAAGCTTTTAGAATAAAGATGTGGCCCGTGTGTGTGTGTGTGTGTGTGTGTGTGTGTGTGTGTGTGTGTGTCTTGATACTAGAGTTGGAAAACTAAGTGATTGGGAGTGTACCATGTTCTTAAATATCTTCCCAGCTTTGTAATGTGGAGGCAAAGCCCAGCTTAGTCCTCCTACAGGCTGTTACTAGAAGGTGTTCCCTCTTACTGTATGTAGGGGGCCTGTCCCGTGGACAGTTAGATGACCAGAACAATTCTGGCTTCTGGACTTGTTCCTCTCACGTGGCTAACGTGACATGCCAAGCCTGAGGACTCGGATGCCCAGGGAAAGGGCACACTGGGGAGATGCAGGCAGAGAACAGTTATCCAGTCATGTCTGAGTCTCAGTCAGGGAGGGCATGGGCCTGTTATTTCTCTTCAACAGGATTGTCAATGTTTATTCCCGTTCAGTAGAAATAAAGGAGCAGAGAACTCCTCGGAAAAACTGTGTTCAAAATGAATAACTCGGGAGGGCATGCTGGGCTGAGAGTTTGAGAAGCAACCAGAATATACTAAAGCATACATTTCTCAGGGAAATAATAAAAGAGCAGTTGTGCTCACAGCCCTGGCCCATGACATGGCCATAACCCATTTTCATCTCTGCTGTCACAGAATACTTCCTAAAATTGAAACTGTCTTCAATTATTCAATTAAAAAAAAAAAGAAATTAGATTCTTTTAGGAGGGCTTTGTCAAAGAAAACTGGAAATGCCCAGTGTTCTATTTGAATGTTGTCATCATAGAAAGTCTTGGAAGTGCATTCTGATCTCCCTGAGGAACCGGGAAGTGTTCCTATGCATAAGCTCCCAGGGTTCCCCACTCCTCCAGTGGGCCGGGCTGACATTGTAGTGTAAACCACAGATAAAGACACGAGCTGCTGCGAAGGAGTAGATTTTTTTTTTTTAAAATTGCAACATTTTGTGAAGAAGAGGGGTGCAAAGAAGAAAGAAAGAAGGAAAACCCAACTCTGCCTTTTGCTTTGTTTTGTTTTGTGACATAAACACACTGAGCTGCATCACAGCTCTGCTGTCTCTGGTGTTGCCATGTGACTTATCTCTTGGCTCCTCGGCTCCATGAGAGGGCAGACCGGGAAGCCCTGAGGGAAATCCAGCAGATGGCCAGATGTCCAGAAGCACAAACATCCCTGCTTCCATATTGCCATGTTAACAGCAGCTGTCCAGCAGCCCCACTCCCGGGCATGGATGCTGGAACCTCAGCCCCTCAGTGTCTTTCCCCTCCAAGGCTTAGCCTCATCCAACGTGATTCCTTCACGGACAACTGGAAGCTGGGCTTTGGGGAATCTAGTGTTTACTTGAAAGAGGATCACTCTTATTTATTGCCACCAGTTAAAGATTATGGCAACATGTCTGCTAACAATTTGCTTTGTGTAATTTCGTTCTAATGCTAATAAGCAACATCTGGGACACTTCCTGCACCAGCTTCCCCTGCCTTCCCGTGCAGCCATCACACAGGCTACACCAAGCACCCAGCTTAAGAGCGAACACACCCACTGGCCTGCAGACGCTGTGCTGGGTAGCCAGCATGTCCCTAAGCTGTGCCCCTGACCTACATGCTAAACTTCCCACCTCCAGACCTGGGGGCTTCTTGGCACACTTAGCAGGAGGCAGAGGAAGTAGGGGTTAAGAAAGACCGTTGCCCAGGCCAGCAGCTGCCAGTTGGACCAGGAGTTGAGGATGTGACCCCTAGAGTGAGAACACACGGAAATGACGGATGTACATCAGAGAGGAGTACAGGCTTGACAATGATGGAATCATGATTCTAGATGCTGTGGGGACAGCAGCATCTTTGTTTCTGTCGACACAGATCCACGAGCCACTCGGCTGCTGTTATCTATGTGACCACATGGCCTGAGCCCTGTGGCTCAGTGCTTGGTGCTGAGGCAGGGGACCACGTCTCCCACGACTTGCGTTCTCAAACAGCTCACTGTGAAATGACTCACCGCGTCATTTTCCAGCACTATCAAAGGCTACTTTCACCAGAAGTGAAGCCACCCAAATCTTGAGAAGGCCCTGCTTCACTACCTCGGGCAGACTGCCTTCCCTATGATCACGAAAAGTGGCCTTGCTTGGCTTCCTCTCGTTGTTACAGGGAGTTCCCTTCCCTAGGAGCTGGCTTATTGCTCTATTGGACAGTTCTGGTTGTTTAAAAATAAAAAGGAGTTACTTCTCAGGGAGACCCAGATGTCTGCGAATCAGATATGAGCCTCAGAGATGAGGCCAACTCTGAAATCTTTGTATTTTTAAAAGAGTCTTTCCATGTAGTAGTCAAATCTATAACACAGACAGAAATTGGCTAGTTGATCTAAACAACAGGCTCCCTCCCTTTCTATGCAGGAGAGGAGTGGACACCATGTAAAAATTCTACCCAGATGCTGGGTTAGATTACTGTTGCTGTGATAAACGCCATGAGCAAAAGCAATCTGGGAAAGAAAGGGATTTTCACATCTTATAGTTCCACAACACCAGGGGAGGTCAGGAACTCAAACAGGGCAGGAACCTGGAGGCAGGAGCTGGTGCAGAGGCCATGGAGGGTGCTGCTCACTGGCTTGCTCCTCATGGCTTGCTCAGCCTGCTTTCTCATATACCCACAGGACCACCAGCCCACTACACCAATCACTAAGAGAACGCACTACAGACTTGCCTACAGGCTAACCCCACCACCACCACCACCTGCACCCCAATTTATAGCTCTGTCTGTCCTGGAACATAGACCAGGCTGGCCTTCAACTCACAGATAACAGTCTGCCTCTGTCTCCCAAGTGCTGGGATTAAAGGCACACACCACCAGGCTCAGCTATTAATTAATTATGTCATGTATATATGGGTGGTTTTCTGCACACCAGAAGAGGGCTCCAGATCCCATGGAACTATAATTACAGATGGCTGTGAGACACCACATGGGTCCTGAGGATTGAACTCAGGGCCTCTGGAAGAGCAGCTGGTGCCCTCAAACACTGAGCCATCTCTGTAGCCCCTCCACAGGCCAATCTTTGGAACCATTTTCTCAACTAAGAGTCCTTCTTCCTAAATGGCTCTAGCTTGTGTCAAGTCAGTATAAGAATGCTCCCCCCCACCCCACCCCATAGGCTTATATATTGAATGCTTGGTCACCAAGGAGATGCACTGTTTGAAGGGATTAGGAGGTGTGGCCTTGTTTGGGTAGGTGTGGCCTTGTTGGAGAAACTGAGTCACTGGAGGTGGAATTTGGGGTTTCAAAAGCCCAAGACAGTCCCAGTGGCTCTCTCTTCCTGCTGCCTGCAGATCTGGATGTAGAACTCTGAGCTCCTTCTTCAACAACATGTCTGCCTGCACGCCTCCATGCTCCCAGCCATGATGAGGATGGACTA